CAGATGGCTTGGTTCTCGGCCTAAAGCGCTAGTAGGGAGCTATATAGTGGGAAATGGCGAAAGAACGGAGTGAAACGGTCAAAATCCTGCGAAGAAAGAGCCTCCGTCCTCAATGTGTTAGAAATCATTTTTGGACTGACTGGTGAGCAAGACCTTCTCCTTTACATACTCTTCCTTGAGTGCCGGACCGACCGGAAATGCAGAAAGCTGTGAACAGCTTCTCACCCGTCGGTTACTCACATCAGTTCCCTCTTCCCTCCAACTAGTTCTTGCACTTCGAGAAAGCACTGCACCATAAAACTATACCAGATAGAGATCGCGGAGCCCATCATTGACAGCACATCCTCTCACTGAGCATTTTACTCGTTTCTTTTCTAGAACCATTACCAGGAGCCTAACGCATGATCCTTCTTAAAAACAACTATCTTTACAGTTTTTCCGACTTTTTTTCCTTTTTCCCACACAACACACAACTCTCCCCCTTGGCATCCAGCATTAGGTATAAAGATGGCATCATCGATCTCTTTCAACTTCCTCAACTGTCAATGGATAAGGTGAATGAGTTAGCACTGAGTACTGAGCTGCTTGTCTGCAGAACTCAAGCTACAGAGGGAACAGTACAATCTTGAGAAATTTTGTGAAGCCAGCTTCCTATCAATACTTCTCGACTGATGTCATTATTTCTCACCTGTCATCAAAGCCTTAGCTCCTGAGCCTTAGATATTTGCTAGTGTGACAACGATGAAGCCTCGAAGATAGGAGGTAGTGACAGAGCTCCTTATCAGTCCCTGACAAACGTCATCTCTTTCTGCCATACACCAATAACGTCCAAGTCGCACTTCCTCCCCATCTGTTGAAATTCACCTTCGACAGTTGACGTGACCCACACTATACATTTGGTAATCTCCCCTCCCCCCTACCACTTCTTATCGTATCTTGTTTGCAACTGTTCCGAGACTGCAAAATCCCTCCAGAGGTCACCTGCTGCCACTCGCGAATAAAACACGCAACCACAGACTTCCCATTTCTGAGATATGATATGTATATTTTTGAGGTGCACGGTGCACTTGTGCATTGAGCCCTTTTCTTTGTAAGGCGCTATAAATTCTGCACACATTCGTGCTCATTATATTACCTTGAGCAAGTTTCTCTTCGCCCTGGTGGTCGGCCAATATCCTGCGCAGTGCGTTAGCGCTGGTGTCACGGTTGAGGAGTAGAATGACATCCTCAGCATCATCGACAGGCTATTAGCTGGCATTAGTGTTGAAATGCTTTTGAAGGAGAACAGGCTTCTTTCCAGCGCCTGCTGAATTTGCAGTCGTGCATTCCGTAAATCTAAGCTGATATCCCTAACAGATCTAATGATTGACGTCTCTATATAATTCGCCTTCAATGACTTTTGGTTTTGGAGCAAACTGATTGCGCATCCATTTTGTCCTTTAACACTTTCATCTTGAGACGATCTCTTACGATTTGTTCTGGTAGATCAATTTACTCTGAAGTTCGAGTGTATCATGGGTGAGAATGGCAGTCGTAAGCGAAAAGGAGGTGTGTTAAGAGTTCGCCGTCGATGCCTAAACCGTCACTCTATTCAACCTCTTGGAAGAGCCTGAAGCGCTATAGGGAATAACTTTGGCGAACTAGTGACATCTTGACAAGCAGCTCTGAAGATTTCAACAAGACACGGTTTGGTATGACAGCTTGTTGCAAAACAGTCTCAAATGGCGCACTGTGGCGTCAAACAGCAGTTATGAAACATTACCAATTTCGAAACTTGTGAAAAGCCTCCAACCTTGCGGCTCACTGTCGATATCAATGACCGGCTCATCACGCTGGCCGTGTGAATGCTCGAAGGCAGTGGCACAAATAGCCATCGAGCCGAGAAAGCGATAGCATCTTCGGTAGCGTAATAGGAATGCAGCCGCACGGAAAGCAAAGATCTGGGTTCAAATTCCGCCCGTGGTCCGACTTTTGCCCACAACTCAGCACTCTTGTGATAACTTTCGGATCGCGCACTGCGGCGTTGAAACAGCAGTTATTGAACAGTAACGGTTTCATTTGAGCTCATCTGATAGGACTATGGAATTCGAGCCAATTTGCTATCTTCTAATTCAAATTCAAATTGTGATCATCATCGCACTTGCTTCGATCAAATCGAGTGCTTCTTTGTACTCCACGAAAGGGAGACACAGGGGCTCTCGGAATACACCTTTCAACGAGCAGTTTTACAGTGTACAACTGTTCGACTGTTGAGTGTACACATCGAAAGCCTGCTTGTTCCCTTCACAGTAATGTGTAGGTCTTTGAAATGACGGTTGAGCATTATAGTGCAGGGGTAGAGGTTGCATATAATATATTTGGGAGAGCAGAGTGATGGCCTGTAACTGCTCGGATTTTCGAAGACTCCGTTTCTCATCAACAGTATTGTCTTTAATTTTTATACTAACAAAGCTGTATTTTTTTGCAACTGCTGAAACGCTCTGCCAGATATTCGATCAGAGTAAACCCTTTTGTTTCCAGGTGAGAGTGATGTGTTGGTACGGGCTCTTTTCCGTCTTCATCTGATGTATTCCGTGTTGCGCTTCTTCCCCCTTTTTTTATCGGTTCGATAACGACGACCGGGTGGTCCCTTCCAACGATTAGCTTAGAGGAATACAATCGCTATAGAATTGTGATTCCACAACGATTTCGTTCCTAGATGCTTACAGAGCCGTATTTTCTCTGCATTACCTGATGAAACGCTCTGCTAGAACTTTGAACTGAGGGATGCCTCCTTGTTTCCTGAATGTTACAATGACATTAATTTATTCACATATGTACTTGCTATGATTTAAAAATTAAACAGTAAGCAAAATCTATAACCAGAGTAGCACTGGAGGAAATCTCATATGTAACCCTCAAAACGAATAATAAACACCAAAGCTTCACCTCTCCTGCTGGCTCTGAAATCAGCCCTTTCATAACAGCCGTGTCTTTGACCGCTCATGATATTTGCGATTCGTAGTCTAGTTAGCTGAGGACGATGTGACATGTCAGGCGGGATGCGTCTAGCGCGGTGCTGGACCTGTTTTTAGTTGTTGAAACGAGCCAGAGAGAAAATTGTATCACATCACTTGTTTTACTCCAATAGTTGCATTCCTGCTTTGCAGTGGCAAAGAACGGATCTGGCGCTATGGAACACTCATACTGCCAGACAGGTCCCTTCATCCGCAATGAGCCAGGATGTAAATGTTTGGCGAAGAAATAATTGTTTAAGTTCGATTAGTAGAGTCAACCTTACAATTGTATTCACTGTATTTGCGTACACTGCACTGTTTCCCTACGTGGCCTCAAGCAAAATATAAACAATAAACAATGAGCAATAGAGCTTTGCACAGATTTCGTTCATCAGTTGAGGACTTGTCAATCTTATATTACCGTTGTCCCAGTGAGCAGAAAGATGCATGTTGCCTGAGACCTATATCTCTCTCCACCTTTCCCAGGCTTTTTGGTTTTCCTGCTGCTTCGCGAACCTTCTTTTAACAACTACAGCTTCCATAGTCTACTTCGATCACTTGCCTCTCTGCAAAGCGCCTTGCACTAACCATTCTGCACTTTAGCTTCGCATCTCACATGTGATTTCCTCTCCATCTTTTGAATTGCTTCTGCTGATTGTCGTTAACGGCTTATTGGTTCGACTGCATTGAAATGGCTGAGCAACTGCCAGTTTCGTAGGAAGCTCGTCTTAGTCGACATCATTACTTTTTTTGGTAATTTTCGGGGTTCCCGCATTGCGATGATGAAATTGAAAAAGCAAGCAAATCAGCATTGGGAGGCTGTCGCGTGAGCTTCCTTCGTGAACGTGAAATTTGATTTTCGCTCTTTATATCGGACAGAATGGTCGAACATATGAGTCGATGATCAGGAACAGTATGCCGGAAATTTCTCCTCCACCATTCCTGACCACTCATGTGGTGTCCAGATGTAAAGGGTGCCCCTCCTTCCTATATTTTTTACGAACGCATATTTTTGCCTAACATTACTGTTCGAATTGGTTAGAGATTACTGACCAATATCCAGTGTCACCGAACCGCTTCTGAACAGAGAAGGAATCGGTTTCGAAGTTGGGTGCATCGGCCAGGCAACTGATAGTCCTGTCTTCAGGAACTGGACTAACCAAGTTTGGGCGATTGCTCAATTTGTTGAAGAATGTAGTCCGCAATTCCTGCTTTCCAGGTCATCCCTCACTGCTCTGAACTTAGCTAAGAAGAAAATAAAGCATTTGCCCTATGGAAGAGACTGTCCTTATCTTACCACGGGAAGCCAGGAAACACACTACAGAGAATGTGCCTGTGTTGAGAATACTACCTAATATAATCTCACCTACAGGATAGGACACTGCAAATATGAGGAGTTTTGTATCGCAACCAGCCTTGTAGCAGGTGGCATGGAAATCATCTGATCCAGCCAAGAGGACCTCCAGAAGTTGGTGGATGTAATAGAAAAACTCATGAATATCCAAATAGATATAGAGATAAAACGGATAAGGATGAAGTTCGAGTCTACAACTCACCCTTGGGAACAGAACCATAGACCAACCAAATGCACCTATATCTGAAGTCGCCTAGGAAGCGCAGAGATTATTTGAGAAAACACTAGCTGCGGTAGTCTACACGACCTTCAAAACTATTGATTTTGGCCGTACAAAACTGCCAAAATAGCAGATATGTGTTGCAACCACAGGTGCTTGGATGGCTTACACACTGATGACAACACCAAAGGCTGCTTAATTTGAAGGAGGTCACATAATTATGAGATAATGTAAAAACAAAAAAAAACAACTATGAAAAGATAGACTACGAAAGGTTGCGAGCAAAACTTGATTACAGATATTTTTTCAGGTTTGAAATCAGGTGTCAATTACCAGTGACCACTTATAAGAACAAGCAAATTCCTGGGTGACCTTATAGTTATGAGACACATTATTCGCTGCGTGTATCACCTTCTCATGAAATCCTTCCTCAGAAGTGATCCAGGTAGCTGAAACCCGAGACAACAAAGTCGTAATAATAAATTTCGAGAAGTCGTCTGTCTGAAAGGAATTTCTGTTCAACGACTTCTCGCACTTTGTTGTTCGACGTCGCATGTCTTGGTAACTGCTCTGAAATATAAATCGTTCAGCAATATCACTTCTTGCACATGAGAACAAAGTTCTCTTAGCATTGTTTTCAGAGTATGCCAACTATGGGAAGATCAAAACGGGGCGAGAATGAGGGACGGAGGGGATTGCAAGCGCAGGCCTTTCAGCACTAATGAGAATAGCGACTATTGCACAGTAAATAAATGATAAAAGAGTAATCTATGATACTCAATGGAAAGATCACCTGAGGAGAAACTGAAAGCAGAGGCATGTTGCAGGCTCGGAAGTGGGGAACGGCAATGAGAGAAAATACGGTAGGCGCCCATGACGACGTCACGTACCAATAAAGCAGCAATAGTATACGCGATATCCTTGGATCTTTATGAACCGTAGAAGCACATCTGCTCGCACGAAGAACCTTTTCTGATAGATACATCTTTTCGACACCTTCGCATGGGAGCTGGATATAGGCACAATACAGAAATGAGGTCAATAAACGGCGAATGCTCTCTTTTCCGCTAGGTTCGACAAAAAAATGTGTTCCGGAAACACTTTCAGGCCTTCAAATGAAATGAAAATGGTAGCGCGCTAGAATTCTGGGTTTTGTGTGGCTCACTCAGATCCGCAACAAAAGCAAAGCGGGGAACTGGACGTGAGAGAAAAACAAGGTGCTTTTTAGAATGTGGGACTTTATCGTCGTCTGCGACGACGATCCCACTCTCTACCTCCTCTCTCCACGTCTGGGGCTAGAACCTCTCTCAGCGTGGGTCCTTGAGTACTGCCATGAGGCGGACATGATATGATAGTCCGCAGCAGTCTGCTATATTCCCTAGAATACACTAGCTGCTTCTACCTCCCGTTCAACGTCCCGAGTAAGACGTCCATTTACTCGCCCTTCCTCGCACAACTACCGTCGCAATCAAGACGTAGGTTCATCTCATATACATAATAAAGGTATTATATAGATTATTATTGTCATTCTCGCCTCTTACTCAAGGGCATACTTATAATTCCACTGAACCACCACATTTCTTTTGGTGCATCGGTCAAAACTTGTTTTTTTTTCGTAGACCGAGCAAGCGATTCTAATCAAATTTATATCAAATCTAACTAATAAAAAGCCCTTCAAATCTAATGGCGCTCTATTTTCATAAGAAACCCATAGTTTTTAGCACCAAGACGCTCAAAAACTTAATTCTTCGGTACAGCGACTACACAAAAAGTGTTGAATGCTTCGAAGTAAATGAGGAAACCTACGAAAAATGTAGGACAACAGCCGCTCTTTTGGAAAGCGGCATAAGACAAGTAATAGAAGGTAGAAAGAACCTACAAATTTTGTACAATGAAGTTAGAGATGAATATAAGAACTGCAGTAATAAGTCCGAGAAAAAGGATTTAGTTGCAGAAATTGAACAAATAGAGGAGGAATCGCAGCTCCACCCAGTAATAGCGGAAGCGAGCGAATTAATAAGCATGCTAACTGCAAGACTCGACGAATTAAAATGTTTACAAGAAAGAATAGCCAGAAACTTGGCTACAGCTCAAGTAACGCTATCGGGGGTGGGGTAATGTCCTCTAATTGCCCTAGATATCAATCTGGTCATAATAATGACTTAGACTATATTAATATTGGGCTGGATACCGAAGGTGGGTCACAGCCGGGACCACCAAACACGGTGCAACCTCACTTCGAGCGAAACAAGGCGTAAGCCACCTCGCTCGATAAGACCCCCGCAAGTCTCACTTCCCCAAATTTCATGGGAATGCAGAAGAATTTGCGGAATTCTGGGCCATATTTGAGACCCTAGTTCACAATAGTGATGAGTTAGAGGTCATAGAGAAGATTATCCTCTTAAGGGAATGTCTTGAAGGCAGAGCGCGTTTTGCGATTCAAGGAATCCAACCGCTGCCGCAGAATTATGACTGGATGATACAGACTCTCCAGGAAAAGTACTGCGATTATTCCGCTAATAGGTCCCAAATCGTACAGAAGCTAGTCCTAATGGAGCCAGCCACCGATAAAGCGGACAGTTGTTCTGAGACCTACGAACAAATACAAGTTCTGGTCAATCAGATGATATCCGCAGGGTATGACGTGAGAACTACTTGCGATCCAATGTGGTATGAAACCATTATAGCTAAATTTCCCCGGGACATCGTTAAGCCTGTTCTCATAAGGAGTCAGGCAGACATTAACCAAACTATTAAGGACCTTTTGGATCATCTCAAAAAAGAAATTGCTGCAAAATGCTATGTAGATAATAGACTCGGCAGCCATGATCGATAACAAACCTGGCCACATTATTAATAATAAGGTCAACCTATCAAGCCAGAGGCAGACTACCACTTTTGACGGATCTTGTATATTTTGCTATAGGAGCAATCACGTATCGACAAAATGTCGAACGGTTAAAGATCCCAGTAAGTCGTAGAAACATTCTAAAGGATGAAAACAGATGTTGGAAGTGTTTTTCTTCAGACCACAACAGTTTTCATTGTCAAAAACGGGACTGTTCTCATTGTGGGCAAAAGCATCACACAAGTATATGCTTTCGAGATAGAAACAGTATAGCAACTCAAGAGAATCACTCCTTCACCCACAGCAATCGGAGGGTAGGCCAACAATCTAGGAGGGCGTCAAACTCCTCTAATGGGTATCAGAGGCCTTCTTTTCAACAAAAAGGGCGCAGATATTTCTCCAACAGCTTCCATGCTGAGAGTAAAAGAAAGCCCTCCAAAGCGGCAGAACAAAACTGCGCGGCTTCACAGCTCG